TCGTCCGCTTCCTGGGCAGGCCCAGGTAACGCGCAAGACCGTGTCGTTGCTGAGTGATCCAGATATCGACGTACGGCGCAGCGCGGGCACCTCAAGCTTTGTTGCGCGCCTTTGCGCATGCCTTTGCCCTTGCCTGGGCTGGGAAGTTGTGAGGCAGCTGCGTTGCTCATGAACCTGGCCCCGCATGGCAAGATCAAGGCCACAGTTGTGTCAAATTTCGGGGGCAGCATAAGGGCATGCAAGGACATGGACATTGTGCCTTGCGGAAAAAGCAAGGAAAGAATTGTGGAAGCCGGCGCGCTGAAGCCTTTAGCGAAGTCATTGAAAGACGAGGACGAAATCTTGAAGGACCTACACAGAAGTTCTCATCGCTTGCTGGAGAGAAGCGCAATTTTGCTGGAAAAAAATCTGCTTATGGCTGTCTCAAGGAACGTGCGGCCGGTGCCCTTGCCAATCTGTTCAACGACCACAGTGCCAACGTGCATCAAGGTTTCCAGCAGGCACCGGGCATTATCCATATGTTACTACTATATTTGTCCAGGAAACTGCTATACTTCGTGGCATGGACCTTTATGCATAATTTGGTTATCCTCTTACAAAAGGTACTCTTAATCGGAATAGTTCCCTCCACAAGTTAAAGCGGAACACTTGGACGTCAGTCATATAAAAGTGATTTTCAATCCCAGAGACTTTTGGCCAATCCCAGTGGGTGTTTCTCAAGACCCAAGTGGCTATACGACGACACGGCATGTGTTTATAAACGCAACAGTGTTTATGAACATGGGCTCCTGGGACAGGAACATGTTACAAATCACTAAACCAAAATCCCAAACAACCCTACCCCTGAAAACGTCACGCATCTGGTAGACGAGGCACCTTGCGGGCGAGACGTCCGTTAACCCATTAACCCATGAACCCAATCATTTGTGCCCTACGAATGGGTCAACCCATTCCGCCATCAACCCTATCCTTTGGCCCCGTGACTGGGTCAACCCCCACATATTTACCCATTGACCCATTGACCCCATTGACCTATGAACCCAATCCTTTTGGCCCTGTGAATGGGTTCGTGGGTTGACCCCATTCAAGGGCCCAAATATATGGGCTAATGGGTGAACGGAAACTGCATGTGTTTCTAAACACAGGACGCTTCAAAAACATTGGCGCCCGATACAAGACACCAATTCCATAAAAATCACCAAACGAGGCAGGTTACAAGAATGTGGGGCATACTCGGTTACCCAACCCAAAACCCTCACGCAAACCCTACAGCCTATCCCCTAAACCCTAAAACCCTAAGCCCAAAAGTCTAAAACCCCACCCAGCTAGGTGGGCAGTGAAAAGGAACCTTCAACCCAAAACAAACCCTTAAAAGCCTTGACCCTAGGCAAAGCCCACAAAACCTTGAAAACCCTCAGCCCTAGCTGGCAAGATGCTCCTGTCTTGAGGGTCAGCACAGTGGCTGATGGGTTGAGTGGCGCGGAGACAAGCAAGCTGATCTGGAACCGGCAAAGTTAAGAGTCTCTGGAAGCAGGCACTGTGCAACATGTGAATATGAAGCTGTGGTGAGGTGGAGGGGGGCAAAGAGGAAGTGTCCCGTGGGAGGAGAGATGGGTCAATTCGCTATATGCCTCAGGTTGCTGGATTGTGTGGGCATACTCGTGATGTCAATGGGGTCGGTTGACGAATCACTGAAGTACATCCCCTGCCTCTCGCGTGCAAAATCGTTTCAGATTCCCAGATTTGCTCGCTTTGGGAATCTGGGAGCTTGGTGCAAATCTGGAATCTGGGAAGCTAAGGTGAGCAAATCTTGGAACCAGTCAATATTGTGACTAACATAGAACAGGCTCCGTAGTTTTAAGTCTTGGAGTTAGGATTAAATTAAGAAGATAAAGCTGCCCTGCATTTTGTCGAATATTGCCGACCTTTCAACCAGCAGAATTTATTTAAGAAGTAAATTTGACCTGCAAGTATATCCACCAACCAGTTCAGTCGTTGACACTTCACACAGAATAAGGATGCACGTGCACAAATGTGCGTGTGTGCGCACAACTGTAGTCTGTTTCTTTCGACACATACGACATCGACAAAACATGAGCAATTTGTAAATCATTAAGGTGAAGCTGTCAAAAACCGTTCAAAACTGGTGTCTTTACACATGTAAGAGCCGAAAGTGCTGTATATTTCGTGTTAGTCGAAATCTCGTCCTGGCCAAGTAAGGCCTTTCGGTAAACAAGTTTTGTGTGGTCAAAAGCACGTCTAGGTGTTAGGGCCTGGGGTATAGCATCGTTCTGAATGGTCCACATGGTGGGCTGTGCACAACAAAGAACCCTCTGCTGCAGGCGAGTGAGATGATCCCATCTTTGGTTGCGCTAATCCAAGAAGCCGGTCTCTCTGAAGACGCCAAGCGTCAAGCCGCTCATGCGCTTGCGATGTTGGCTGCTGAGGACGGAGTATTCTTTTTGTTTCAAACGTTATGCAAAAGGCTTTTACATCTGCATGTTTGCCACAGGATGGGCCGTGCGATGCTGTGTGGCAAGCGAAAGCTGGTCCTCCACTGATAGCTCTGCTTAAGGCAAGGCGTTCCGAGAAACGGCCTAGTACCGGTGCCATGTCGTAATGCGGCCATATTCTTTGTATGTTAGTTTGGAGAGTATTCAACTACTGTGGAAGACCAGACTAGCAGCAGAGCAAGTGAACAATCGGGTATGGTTGGCCAAGCATCATTGGATTGCATGTGCTGTCAGGAGATGATCGGCGAGGCTGCATTGGGCATCATGCGCCTGGTCTGTAAAATGTGCGTGTTGCCTATCAGTAGGCGGGTTGTTGACAACCGCTTCCCAGGAACTTGTCCTGGAGATGGCCGGAAGTGAAGGCCGAACTGGCAAAGGCTGGAACCTTGGAGTACCTCATGGACATGCTGAGGCAAGGCATGCCGGCATCCCTGTTTCGGCACAAGCGCTTGACTCTGTACATGTTCTTGAACATACAAAAAGCTACCAGAACAGGCTTGGAGATGCAATGGCCAAGGAGTGCCCACGTGTTCTGTGTGTGACCCGAGCACTTCATGTTGGACTTCGCATATGTTGCTCCTGTTCTCCCAAAAACAACATTCCTGTTTGTGGAGCACATGGCATCGTTGTGTCCCCCAGGTACGCAGCAGGTGCCTTGATGAACATGACAGCAGGTTCGCCTGACAGCGCTGAGAAGGTTACTCCTGCAGCGTGTGCCTCATATCAGCTTGCACTGTTTTTTTATGTCCTGATCTTTGCACCCCATTATTGTGACATTTTCCACAAGGTCAAGGACTTAGCAGAACTTTTGAAAGCTGAAGCCATCCAAGCCTGGATCTCAATTGAACCTGCAGTGTGGCCGGTTTGCATGGTGGGAGCACATGCTTGCATGTCGCTTGCATCCAGAGTTTGCTGTCTCACTACGTCATACTTTAGGCGGCAGAGTGGGCTGCGGGTGCTTTGGCGAACATCGTCAGTTGGCGGCTTAGTGCTTTCGAGTGCACAAGCAGGTGTTTGGTCTGCTTAGCACATGTTTCAGAAGCTGAGCTCTGCAGCCATGTGCAGTTCAGCGATTAAGTCGCATTCGTTGGATCAGGATTTCTGCGTTGGGCTGAGGATCGGGGCATGCGGCACAGGAAACGGCAGTTGCGCAGGCAAGCTCGGATCAGGTGCAAGTGCCGATGATGCGCGACTGTTGACACATGTCTCAGGGGGCCGCCACTTCTTTGGCCGCCTTGCTGCCCAAGGTTCTGCTCTTACATCCAAACCAAACCAGTACAATTACGCACAGGAGGCTTCTTTCTAGCTCCGTAATGTACTGCGCACCGCTCAACCCGCTCATAGTGAGGCTTTGAGGGTACCAAGCCGCACATTGTTTGCGCTTTGATTGTCAAGAGTATGTGATATGTGAGACCTGAGATTGTCAAACCGACATCTTGGTGTGATGTTGTTATTTCACATGCATGCTGTGTTCAGGTAGTTTAAGTATCGTTCCTGGGTTTGCAACGATGAGCCGTTATCATTGATTTTTGTTTGAGGGGAAGGGCCGCACTAGGGCACGAAGAGGCATGAACCTTCGCCTTGGTGCACTCTTTGAGCACACGTCTCGTCTTGTAAATCTCTTCACAATTTGTCGGTCATGACACTGACGAGGGCTCACGTATCACAGTGTTCTGCATAGTGCAGGTCACCCCGAATGGTATGGCACTTGTGGTGCTGGCTTTGACGTCGTTGGCAGAAACGCAGGCATCAGAAGTGCGTGGCCTAGTAATTGTAGTAATTGTAAGGCATCTTGAGGGTTCATGCGGATGCAGTTCTCAGGTTTGTTATCTCGACTCTTGAGGTGACAAGAGCGTTGGGGCCGAAAGAGAAAGCCAAGCTGCGTGACTTCAGGGACCCGCAGTTGCGCTTAATTACCAAGAGTTGCGTGCCATGCTACTGTATGTCTTCGGCAAATACCAAGCCTGCCGCGATAGGACAGCAGCAACCCCGACCTGCAAGACTACACAAAGGCTCGGCTCTGTTGGACTGCAGATGCACGCGGACGTGCCGCGGAAAGCCAGGCACTGGCGGACAAGCTCGGCCCAAACTTCACAATCTGAGATGAAAACCTGATGTCGGCAATGCTCCCCGAAGAGAGGATGTCGCTGTGTGTGGCCATAGAGCCAGAACTCCATGCAGCTGCCTTGTTACCCGTACACGTAGGATCTGGTATTCCTGTCCCGCAGCTGCAAGATGCTGCAAGTCTTGGAAAAGGACTTAGGAAGTGGGGGCTGAGCGAATGAAGCTGCCTAAGGCTGCCTCAGCATTTAACCCGGCCCTGTGAAGGCTTCAAAAGGCTCTGCGAGACAGTTGCCACACAGCGCTGCGCGTTTGGCGTGAAAGACACTAAAGTTAAAGCGTGGCTCCTTCAAGTGTTGGGCAAGGTTCACTTCGCTCACTTGTTCGGATGGGAAAGCGTGGGGTATGAACATCCATTCCTCTGAGGCATGAGAACGGTGTGTGCCCGGTCTCCTCTCTGATGGTAAGACTCCATCTCAGTTGCTTCTTCCTGCGATGTGGTAGGAAGTTTTGAACTTCAAGGATATTCGGTGTATGTTTCGGTATCCTTCGGTATCTTCAGAATATCGCTTTCAATGTCGTGTACGTTTCGGTATCTTCGAAGTGCTTTGAATGTCGTGTTTCTCTCGCACATTGAGATGGTCATAAAGATTGTCCGAGGTTGCACTCGGCGAGGGTACAACTGGAAGGCCAAGGCCGTCGAGCTTGAGACGTGTTTTCCGTGAAGTTTTGTGTGAGATAGTTTCCTTGCCCTTGAGCCCGCTTGCACGCAGGCACGCACGTGCATGCGCACGCGGGCATGCGTACGCGCACGCACCCACGCGCACGCCCACGTACGCACGCACACACACACATCAAACCACATCAAAACGCACATCAACACACGCATCAACAAACACGCACACACAGAGAGAGCATGCCACACTTTTCACTATCAAGAAAGAACGAAAGGGAAAAATGACAGAACGACCGAGAGAAATACAGACAGTACCAGCATGGTTTCCGCATGCGGGGGTGGGGAGGGGGGCTGCTTCACCGCTACCCGGCTACCCCCTTTGCAAACACCATGTTTTCGCATGTTACTTGATTCGGCATGGACCTGAAACTTTGAAAAGTTGATAGGTCTTTGCCGTCTATTGTCTTTGCTTTTTTTGTCATTAGCATTTTCCAGTGAAGCAATATGTGGTTTTGATTTGTTATTGATGTTGACACCTTCGACTGTTGCAATGGTATTTTTTTGAGCAAGAAGTCCGCTTTAGTTTTTTTAAAGCCATGTGATCTTGCTTTAAAGATCGCCTTGCCATTAGCAGGTGAATCCTGTCGAAGCCATCATGCAAGGATCTCGAACGGTGAGAGTGAGAGGGGGTTGGGAATCATGATCTTGCGATGTCTTGGCCAAAACAAAGAGAAATCAAAGCACTGGAGCCGAGGATAACATGTTTTTGTGTCCTTGTTGCTGTCCACAGAAATTTGGTTTTTATTGAAAGGCCGAACCGCCATGTCCATGATATTCGTTCTTTACATTCGGGGGCTCAAGAAAACGGAAGTTGCCTAGGACTTTTTGGTTTAGGGCGCCAGTTACCTATCGGATTCCGGAAGCGGGAAGCCTGGAAGCACAACACTGCCCAAATCCCTAGGTGACTTTTACTGTAGCTGTTATTTCACAAAAAAAATCAACAAATTAACATGTGTTTCGTTGAGAGGACGTCGGGCAATGGGCAATGGGCAATGGGCAGTGTTTCTCAGTTGAAACTATTCTTTTTCTTTCGGCCTCCTACTTTTCATCGGAGTTCTGACGCAAAGCAACTAGTTAGGGATCTGCATATCAGCCTGACCATCTTTCAATCTTCCGACCCATCCCTTGGTTTCCATCATGATGCTAAGTCTTAGCGCATTCGCGGAAAATACAAAGGAGTCGCAAGACTCTGACGGACAAGCTGGCACGGTGTCATCCCACGTGAAACCCGGCAAACGTGCAGGACACAACACCTGAAATGCATGAGAACACCAAACGAACCAGACAAATCAAGAAGGACATCGTTCGAAGTGCAGCCCGCAGGACAACCCTACTCTCCGGTGGCCGCAAGTGAGTTTCGGCGCGCCCCGTACAGCAGTGGAAGCTAGTGGCCTACAGCAAGCAGTACCCGGTTGCACTGCAGCAGCGGATAGCCTGTCGAACAAGCGCGGGGGCACGAAGTTTCCGCGCCGGGCTGCGCAGGCATGTGGGTCTTCGGGTCAGGAGTCAGGGCGGAGGAGGGGCAGAGAATGAAGAAGAGGAAGTGAAACCAGGCTTGAAAATTGCTCAACAGGTCTGGGAGTCTGGTCCAAACTTACAGGGCCGCATGCAAAAAGGTGGACTTGGCACAATCGAGGCGGGATGGGGTTGTAGTGTCCACGGGGACCCATTGCTTCAAACAGTTCCATGCGCTCAGGCAGCGCTACAACTGGATAGCCCGAAATGCCGCCATCTTCCTGACCTTGATGCCGCAGGATCCGTCTCCTTTGGCGGAAAGGACGGCTGAGATTGGAGGTTGCGAGGCGTGCCTTGGCCACAGATTGGAGTTAGGATCGGATGCCGCGATGTGGGACGCAGAGACATGAGGTTACGGCTGCTCGCCTGTCGACCGCTTGGTGAAGCGGTTGCTTTCTTTTGTCATGCATTACTCCTTCGCTGTCGAACATCGACGTATATCGACATGGAAGTATGTTTTTTTGGGCTGAGGCTACCATGTAATTCCCAGATCTGGTTACGACGTTCCGGCAGCTGCAAGTGAACATTAGCTTGAGCATCACTTGAGGTCCTGTCGTCCTCGGATTTCTCGAGCCACGTGTCATGGATGGATCCTCAGCTCTGCGCCGCTGCGCAGGAGCTGAGCGCAAGCTGAAAGTCCAAGCTATGGCCCGAGGTCCACTTTGCAGACCGGCCCTCGATGCCTTTCTCCTTGAGCGAGTACTCAGAGGCCATCTCTATTCCTCTTCCGCTTTCCGGTCCTGGCATGCAGGTTGACCGGCAGCAGTTGGGGCTAGAGCGGTTTGAGTTGCTTGTACAGATTTGTAGACAGGTATCCAGGCATCTACACCCTTAAGTCAAGTTGACTTTGCTCTCTTTGTGGCTTCCGTTGTTGCACGGTTTCTGACTGCGCCTTCTGATGCCAAACAAGGCCGGCCGCGTCGATTCGACATTGCCTGTGTGCCATGAGTATGCTTCCCGACAGGCAGATGAGCTGCGGGCGAGGCTTTCGGAGGAGGCGGGGAGTTACTCGAGTTGGTCTCAGACGGTCTCAGACGTTCGAGCGTTCTTTGTATGCCGGAGGTGGCTGACGACTTCGTGCTGCGAACCGTGCAGCGAAGCCAACCGATCAGCTGCCAGAGACCCGCAGTGCGCAAGCATCTGGGGAACAAGTTTCCGAGTGTGCGCAAGGCCGTTTCCTCTCCCATTGTGATTTGCTGTGCGCCACGCCCGACGACATGCCTGCTGCACTGGCTTCTATGAGGCCTGTCTACAGCCACAGCTTTCCTGCAAAGTTGTCGTCAACCGTGGAGCAAGTGCCAGCGGGAGGCGATTCGAGGAGATGAAGTCGGCCCCTGAAACTTCACAATCAGGCAAGTCGGTGAGCTACTTTCTGTCCGTTAGACGGTTTGTCAGCCTGGCTTCGGTCCGGCTTGTATGTTGCGCACTTGCCGCCAGATCCTTCGGCTACCACAATGCCATTTCTTGACTTGAAGACATTCCCGTTTCGGCTGTCTGGATAGCACATGTTGTAGTTTCTTTCGTCGATCTGCAGAGCATGTACATGAAGTGGGTTGCCGGTGCAAGTTAAACTTCTTCCGGCACCAGGCAGTTTTTTTTGTGCGCATGCTTTGAGTTGGTTGAGCTTTTCCTGCACTATTATGCTAAGCAAGTGCAGTCCCAGTTTTGGCATGCCAAAGTTGCTGTCAGGATCCCAGTGCGAAAGCAGCGCAGGGAGGTTGTTGTATCAAAGCCACGAGCTCCAAATCCATAGCGTGCTTCTTGTGAGTTGTGTGATTGGTTGGGCAACGGACTGATGGAGCAACTCGGCCTCGCGCAGGCTTGCAGCTGCATGTTGCTGCGACATGCTTGCTGTGCTTTAGGCTTTTACCAGCAAGTGGCCAGCAAACGAACGGACGAACTCCCCTGAATCACAACATATCCCAACGAAGCGAGCCACGTGCAGCAGATCGATGGCAAAGTGGAAAGCAGTTGTTGATGGCGACTTCCGAGCCTAGCAGTTGACCTGAAGGCAGCCGATTTGCACCGATGTTGATTTCCTGTGACATCGAAAAGGGAAGTGACTGCATGGTCAAAGAATGTCCAATTGATATCCTGCCCGCATATGAGAACAGTTGCAGCGCATGCCACCACATGCTAAAACATGTCTTTAAGAAGCTGAGAGCTTAAAGCTGAGTTCTGTTACGGCATGTTTTCGCCAGGCTCAATGGCACCATGGCCTGGTGGCTGAGGGTTGTCGCCTTGCTGAAGTTGGTCTGAGGTGTTTATATTCTCAGAAGCAGGCTCTCAGAGTACAGAATGCATCAAAGGCTGCAAGCAGGAATCGCCTCCCGAGGTCGGTGTCCTATGGCTGCAGGCATGCGAATCACTTTGAAGCCTGCAACTGAAAGAGCCGGCGGAGCTCAGAGATGTGTTGCAATGCAAGTGGCTGACAACGCAGGCCGCAGCGCAAAGCGCGTGGCAGACCTGGGGCACGGAGGCCTTCGATTCGGGCGCTACCACCGCTCCGTGAATACATCGAAGTCTGGACAAGCCCGAGGTCTTCGTCGAATTTCTGCAAGCGCTTGGCTGCGAGCAGTGTGGCCACGTGCAAGAAGAACCCACGCTCCAGGCGTAGTGGCTGCGGCTTTGTGCTGTTGCATCTTGAAGGGCGTGAGAGACTTGCCCAGGCACGCTTCGAAGTGTCGAGTAACATCTTCGGGTGTGCAGATATCGATGTGCTACTTCCTTCCATTCATTGGCTATACCAGGCAAGAGGGCAGCAATGTCATTCCTGGCCGCTGCATTTCGAGTTCTGCCAGGCAGCGCGGCAGCAGAGTGGGGGCAGCCCTCCTGGCCTCCTAGTGGACCCCAGCTCAGGCAAGCACAGCAGAGTGAGAAGTGGTCTACGGGACAGTCCGGGGGGTTACCTTGATGAGGACGGTGGGGCAAATGTTGGCAGAGCTCTACACTTGGAAAGGGTTGGAAGATGTCCAGGCTGTGACATTGTATTTTGTGTCTCCACCAAACTTGACGTAGCTCAGGCGACAGCCCGATGGATAGCGAGCTTTGGTGATGCTTTCGGCCGGCGTGTATCCAGGCGAAACAATGGACCCTGCAGAAGACTGCCAATATCACTGCACCGTGAGTATCACATGCTGCCGGCAGAAACCATGCAGAAGCTGCCAGGAACAGCACTCAAGCAACTTGTGTGGTTTGTGCCGGGGCAGATGCGTCGGAGGCCGCTTGCACCACTCCAAGCAACTACGGATGCAGCCATGCAATGCAGCTCTGCAGCTTTCTCCGATCAACGATGCTTCTAACCATGGAGGCTGGTGGTGGCCTGGATGCACCAACGGCCGAAGCCACAGCAGACTCAGCATCATTCACCGTTGCACGCCATGGTGCATTTTGCGGCGTCTGTGGATGGGAATAAAGCCAGGTGGTGGTCGTAGCTGTGCCTTGGTTGCACGATAGGTTGCAAGGATCCCACAGGACAAATATTCAACATGAAACCGGCTCCACATGAGATCAACTCCTAGTGCTCGCTGCTGCCACAGTATGTGCTGTCTGCGATGAACGGCTTGCCGGATCTTGCTTCTTGACCGCTTCACAACGCAGCTATTGATGCAAAGCAGATCCCATGTGACAATCGCATGCAATGGACACCAAGCCCCATCGCAAGAGTTTTGGAGACAGCCTGGTTGCCAAGCAGGTGGAGCCATCCGCATCCAACTTCGAGCTGTCTGACGCTCAGGCTACTTGTGCTGCCTGCTGCGTCCTCCTACTACTACTATTACAACTACAACTACGACTACTGCTACTACTACAACTTCTACTACTCCTAGTCCTACTCCTACTCCTACTCCTACTCCTACTACTACTACTACTACTACTACCACTACTACCACTACTACTACTACTACGACGACGACTACTACTACTACTGCTACTACTACTTCTACTACTACTACTACTGCTACTACTACTACTACTACTACTACTACTACTACTACTACTACTACTACTACTACTACTACTACTGCTACTGCTACTGCTACTGCTACTGCTACTGCTACTGCTACTGCTACTGCTACTGCTACTGCTACTGCTACTGCTACTGCTACTGCTACTGCTACTGCTACTGCTACTGCTACTGCTACTCCTGCTCCTGCTCCTGCTCCTGCTCCTGCTCTTGCTACTACTAGTACTACTGCTGCTGCTGCTGCTGCCACTGCTACTGCTGCTACTGCTACTGCGACCTTAAGCAGCTAAGGCTGCTGAAGCATGCTGAAGAGCACAGCTGGAATGCCAGAGCCTTGCGGCCAGTCATCGTTGCCCGATCGAGATTTTGTTGCGTCGTAGCTTGCAGCGAATTGCAGGAAGAAGGATTCCTGCCATTGCAGGCATCGGACTTGCCGGTTGTTCGACATGATTTGTGGCGTGCAAGTTGGTTTGGAGCTGGCTTTCATGTTTGTCGCCCTGCTGACTGCTCCTCACTTTGCTTCTCCGCCATCCATTCGTCGTGGGGCGTTCTCTTGCTGGCGGTTGTACTACACCCTGTCTACACCCTTCCACCAACCATCTCGGGTGCGGCACCTGCACAAATTGACAAATGTATGTGCTGCTCAGATGCTGCCTTTACAGGTGTGTAGAGAGGTGTAGGTGTGTGTGTGTGTGTGTGTGTGTGTGTGTGTGTGTGTGTGTGTGTGTGTGTGTGTGTGTGTGTGTGTGTGTGTGTGTGTGTGTGTGTGTGTGTGTGTGTGTGTGTGTGTGTGTGTGTGTGTGTGTGTGTGTGTGTGTGTGTGTGTGTGTTGTTGTGTTGGCACAGAATGTGCGAAGTGACATGACACGAGGCAGGGTCTGCACGCTGTAGCCGTGCAGGCCCGAGCATAGCATTTTCGAACATTCGAACATCGGGCCATGGCGAGCTAGGCCTTGGAAATCCGAGTGGAAACGGCTTGCTCGGAGCATCTTGCTGCGCTGGCGCGTGGAAGCTGGCACATTCTATGACGCAGCAATCGAGAGCATTCGACATGACTTGCGGCAACTTCATGGCCGCGTAATTCAACAGGACAGGACCCTGATAGACCGTTACTCAGACTTTGATAAATGTATTGACGTTCCGTAAGTGCTCGTCGGCCGAGCCTATACCGAGTCAGGGGTGTCAGAGTCAGGGGTGTCACAGTCAAGCGTTTTCTCACACGTTGTATTTTTCTTTGTTTTAGCGTGGCCATGTCGGCTACAGAGCTGTGGGATAGGCTTCGGCAGCGGGGTCTGCAAGATCTCGCCCCAACTCTTGTAGAAGCAGGGGTTAGGGGCCTGGAAGATGTGGCTCAGTCTCGGGAAGCCTTGCTGCAGATGGGCGTAGCCAGCTGGCGATTAGATTTGCTATGCGGCGAAGGCTCTGGATCGACTGCAGCTTTGGGACGTGTGCCTGCTCCTAGATGGGATGCCCCGCCAGTCCATAGGCGCCAGAGAGCATCGCAGGCTGAGGCATTGCGAGCGGCAGACCCTGCGCAGAGAGCTTTGGCATTGCGCGAGCTGGAGGCCGAAGTATTAGCTGCAACTTCTCAAGGCCCCGTGGCGTCCCGTCTGGCTTTCTGGAAGAAAGTTTGTGAAGCTTGGGGGGTGCCAGATTTCCCATTGACAGTGCAGAACGTGAAGGCCGTAGCTGCTTCGATGAAACGGGGTAAGTATCGCAGTTGCGCTCAGTATTTTTCGGCTGCGACTGTTTGGCAGGTGCGTAGCCTCCATCAAGAGGTAGAACCACACATTCGGGCATTGATTGCAGATTGCATCCGAAGCATCCGACGGGGATTAGGGCCCGAGGCGCTGAAGGACAGTTTTGATCCCCAGCCACTTGGTGCGCTGGTCAAGGACCCGCAGGACGGAGAGGTTTTCGATGTCACCATTCCATTTGCTGCTGTAGACATGTGCTTGATCGGTTTGTGGTTCATGTTGCGGGAGATTGAACTATCCAATGCCAGAGAACATCAGTTGTATTTGCGAGGGGGACGTGTTCACTTCATGTTGCCAGTGGAGAAGAGATCCAGTCAGGGAGACGTGACCGAGCGTACCTTGGAATGCGCGTGCCGTTTTCGGCGGCAGCCGCTGTGCCCGTGGCACGCGGCGCAGAGACATCTCAATCGATTGCAGAATCTGAAGCATCAGCTGGGGGTGAGGGACCTGCCGCTGTTCCCAGGAGCGCGGGGGGAGACCTTGCCTAAGGAAGCCTTCGTCGGCCATGTAAGGTCCACATTGCTGGCTGCCGGCATCGAGTGCAGCAGGCCAAACGAGGTTGGTCAGCTAGAGGAGAGATTTCAGGGACATGTCCTGAGGGTCAGTGGAGCGCAGTTCTTGTGCATGATAGGGCTCCCAGGGCATCTCATACAAATGCATGGCCGGTGGACGTCCACTTCGGTGCTCAGATATCTGCAGCAGGCTCCTCTTCATTCAGTTCCAGTGGCAGCAGCGCAGGCCCTATCGTGTGGACAATCATCCGCAGCGGTTGCCATGACCGTGCAGCCGTTGTCTGAGTTGTTGAGCCCCAGGTTCTCGCAGGCAGTTGGCTCTGCGGCGGGGAGTGACAAGTCGGGCGAGGCGCGTGAGCCTCCATTGAAGAAGCCAGCATGCCAGTTGGAGCATGCAGGGCAGAGAGAGCTTGAGAAGCTTCGGAGTGAGTTAGCCGGATTGGCTAGGGCCGTCAAAGCGCCGGCCGAGGTCTGGATACAGAACCCGAGGACGAAGAAGGTCCATCGGCCTACAGGCGACGAGCTCACGTCTGGATCAGATATGTGGGCTGCACGATGTGGATGGCCATATGGCATGAGGAGGCACTTCAGGCTAGCATCGCTCTCGGATAATGCCATAAAATGTCGTCGCTGTTTCGGCCTGACAGAAGATGGCGCAGGCTCTGACGACGGCAGTGAGGAGAGCTCCAGCTCAGTGTCTGGATCCAGTTCCGACTTGTGATTATAGTCGTGTAGGCGCTACTCGGGGCTTCCTCTCGCGCACGTAAAAAACAGTTAACCTAGAGCAGCGCGTGCCTGGCATGTGACAGTTGCGCCGAGTTTTTCTTGTCCGTAGCGCTGTGATGCGCTGTGTGCTCCCGCTGCTTCAGGACTTCGGCGAGTGGCCAGATACTTGGACCAGGACATCGGCGCATTCGCTGGCTCCTGGCACAGTGAGCGAGCCTTTCAGTGTGCAGGAACTCGACTGATGTTGGAAGGGCCAGGGGGCGCCCGAGGACGTTTTTCTGCCAGTCATAGAGGGTCGCCCGCTAGCGTGGGGGTGGTCGCAGTACACGTGCGTCTGCGAGCCACAGACAGTTGGGGCAGTTGGTTCCCACTGTCGTGAGAGACCCTTGAAGTCGTAGTCGGCAGGAGCGCCAACACGGCGCAGAATGACAGCGTTGACCGCGGTGCTCCAGGTAAACGGCTCCTTGGTGTGCTGCAGGGCAGGCCTAATAATCTGTGTCCCATCCTGCAGTTTCGTATGTAAAGTGTGCGTGGTCAACAGTGTAGGCATGCAGCGCAAGCCTTGAGCATCGACGCATGTTGTGAGTGTTGTTGGTGTCGGCAGTCAGTTCGGCACAGGCACAGAGTGGTGCGGCAGGATCCCAGCCGCGTGATGCCAGCGTGATGGCGCAACATTCCGGAAAGTCGCTGCAGGAGGTGGCGACGTTCGCAGGGGCTGGTCATGACATCATGCGATATCTCGACTTGCGCGGAGTCAAGTCTGTCGGGACTTTAGCCATGCTCGGGCCCTCCGAATCAGAGTTTGAGCAGTTTCTTATCCATCCGCTGTTGCAGGGTTGGGGGTCAGGGGCCGATCGCATCGAGGTTGCTGAAGCCGAGAAGCCTATTGCAACTGCCATCCTTAAATACATGAGGGCTCTGGCGGTCGAGGATCGTAAAACCGCCACAGCCGCTCATCAAGCCCCCGCCGTGCCAGCAAATCAGCAGACAGCGGCAGCTGCGGGAACATCAGCGGCAGCAGGCGATCCAGAGAAAGTGCCCAGGACTTTGCCAGCAGGAGTTTGGGCCCAGCAGCTCAAGCGATATCAGAGGGTCTTGATTGATGGCACTCCGCGTCCCTTTCCGGAGAAACAAATCTTGGGGGCGGAAGCCACCCTAGCAAAGTTGTGGCATCAGTTGCACACATCCAAGACCTACGCTCCGCTTCCTTTAGGTGAGGTGATCGCTAAGCGCAGCTTTGATGCCGGTGCCACGGTAAACCCGCTGAGCAAGCGGTCCATCTCCCAGAAGGTCGTCATCGATGTGGACAAGGACCAGCTTCGCACGGAGGAACCTGATGAGACTTGGGAGCCCCGTTCGTTGTTAGCAGTAATTGATGCTCTCAACGCCGTGAGGTGGGCATACGTCTTCGTAGAATATGGTCCTGAACTGGAAGTGCACGCCCTTTTCGACGTCTTCGAGCAACGAGCTAGGCAGCGTTCTTCACATCTTGACCTTTTCCGTCAGTACTACGAGGCTGCAGCTCTGCATCTGTGCATGCAGATGAGAGCGGGGCTCACATTCACGGAGGCTGCGAAGATGATCATTGAGGACACGCACATGTTCCAGGAGGTGATGTCGCGAGATAGTCCCGTCAAGAAGCCCCCGCCCAAACGCAGACTGGATGATCCGGCCAGGGCTGGTGCGCCAGAACCCAAGCGTGGGAGGTGGGGTGCGCCGCAGCGTGGACGAGGCAGGGGTGCGGGTCGCAGCTCATCTTGGCAGTCTTGGGACAGCCGAAAGTGGGATGACAAGAGCCAGCGGGACTGGTATCAGCACTCCCACAAGGACAAAGAGTAGGGAAGTGGGGGTGGCACTGGAGTGGGACGGTTCCACGACCCCACCTGCCCTACGAACCCACACACCTCATCAGGAGCCTCATCCGAGTGGGGGGAGGATGCACAGCCTCGTTCCACAGCTGCTGCAGGATGTCAAGGAGAATCCTCATCCTCAGCAGTTCGGCCTCGGACCTCAGAAGAGTGGCGTGAGGAGGCCACAGCGGCTGAGGCTTACCCAGAAATCATCCACTTAGATTTTTTCAGCGGAGCGGGGTCGGCATCGCTCGCTTTGCGCAAGCTTGGCGTGCCAGTGCGCGCGCTGTTGAGCTGGGAGGTTGACCCAGCTGCGCGGGCCATCGCGCAAAAGGCATTTCAAGGGCTCCGGTATGACAGGGGAGACTTCACGCAGGATGAAGCCTCCGCGGTGGCAACGCTGGTCAGGGACACATGCCAGGGAAGTCGACTGCCAGTGTTGATCACAGCTGGGCCTCCCTGCCCAGACTACTCCAAGATCAAGTCACATCCCGCGGGGCGTGATGGATCTAGCGGAGGCCTCTTTGTGCAGTTTACGCAGTTTCTTGCGGAGTTGGAGGCGCAATTGAGTGACTT